GAAGGCTCCGGGGAGACCTTATTGTGGCCTTTCAGTACTTAGAGGGGGCCTAAGGGAAAGATGGGGACAAACCTTTTAGCAGGGCCTGTTGCAATGGGACAAGGGATAATGGTTTTAAAATAAAAGAGAGAAGATTTAGACTAGATATAAGGAAGAAATGGTTTACACTGAGGGTGGTGAGCCCCTGGCCCAGGTTGCCCAGAGAGGTGGTAGATGCCCCATCCCCGGAACCATTCCAGGTCAGGTTGGACGGGGCTGTGAGCAACCTGGTCTAGTTGCAGATGTCCCTCATCATTGCAGGGGGGGTTAGAGTAGGTGACCTTTAAAGATCCCTTCCAACCCAAACTATTCTATGATTCTACGACTCTATGATCCTAAGCTGACCCCTCTTGTCTCCGCAGGCGCTGCCAAAGGCGAGGCCGAGAAGCGGCTGAGTGTGCAGTACACCCCGGGCGAGGAATGCCCCGACAACGTCTTCTTCCCCAGCACGCGGCCCCCGCACCTGGAAGAGCTGCACAACCAGGCCCAGCAGGGACTGAAGTCCCTGCAGCACCAGGGTAGGTGTCCCCAGCCCCCGGGGTGGCCCGGTGACACGGTGAAGGGCTCAGCTGGTCAACCCCAGCTCCTGGCTGGCCGGGCTGCGTGGGCGGCGCGATGGGGCTGACCAGAGTCCAGCCGGGGCTGGCAGCGGTGGTTGGGGTGTACGGGCAGCACTGCCGGACTCGGCAGCCGTTTCGCTGGCTGCCGGCTCCCCCGGAGGGATTTACCCCCTGCCTTCCCTCCGCAGAGAAGCAGAAGCAGACCAAAAGTGCCTGGGACCACGGGGACACCAGCAGCCTCCAGGTGAGCCCTGCCGAGGAGCCGACTCTGCCCCGCAGCGCTCTCAGGGTGCCCTGGGGGTGAGGGGACACTGGGTGGCCCCTCTGTCCCCCCTTGGGTGCTGTCTAGGGGCTGGGAGCAGGTGGGGAACCAGCTGAGGCTGAGGCTGCAGGATTTGGGGAGGGGGTTGTGGGGTGAGAAGGGATCGTTCGCCCCTCAGTGTTATCCCCTTTGCCCTTGTCCTCGTCTCCGTCCTCAGCCTTGGCTTGTGGGGCTCTGCCCGGGGACCCCCACCATGCCCACATTCCTCTGTCGTGTCCCCCCCAACCCCTTCCTGCTCCACTGGTGTCCCCCGGCAGCCCCGAGCGAGGTGGGGTGACGGGGCGGTGTGACGGGGACCCGTCGGCCA